ACTTATATGTTCAGGGTAAGGCTTTGAAAAAGTAGGATGGCTATTCGGCCTCAATCCAGGGCCATATATATCCTGGATGGCATCGCTTAAGGCCTTCATATCTACCAGCTAATTTCGTGGGTCATTTTTATGCTCTGGGATTAATCCTATGCCCCCTGGGCCACTCATGCTAGGCTCTTATAAATAATATAAGGGGGTTAGTATTAGCAAAAATGTGTGGAATAGGGTGATCCCTTACAGTTGTGCGACCTATATTTATAATGACAAAGGTATAGCAGTTGCTCCCATAAAATCTAAAACATGCTTTCAAAGTATCAGGGAACATCTACGCACGATCTACTTCTCAGCGTATTTTATCGTTTAACTATCAACCTATGTCTCCAAGATATTCGGGGCTGTGGGTCCTGTTCCGTGAGATTTGGGGCTGTTTGAGATTATGATTTTATATGCCAATGATCTAAAGAGTGGGTCTACAATTGACGGGATCTCAACATGCTCATCTAATTGAGTCTTTCTCTTGGGATCTGGGCTAGTCTTTTTTGTTTAGGTTGCTAATTGGGCCTTTTTGTCACAAATCTGACAAGGATAGGAGTGCTTGTAGGTGGTATTATTTCAACCACTGGATCCACCAGAGCTAGAGTTAAATGAACGACCACGACCACGACTGGACCTGCTACCACGCGATTAACCTCCTCTACAATTGAAAGGCTTAGTTTGAACAATGTGAGCAAATGCTATAGTAGCCTTTGTATTCTTATCAATATAAGCTTCTTGAGCAAGCAAAAGTGATTCAATCTCATCAAACACAAGTATTAATAGTAGTAATAAAAGGATCATACTCTTTAAATAAACCTTTAAAATTATACTCAATATGATCCAATTCAAACATCGAATGACTTATACCATCTAAAGTATCAACGATTCCTTTGATTTTCAACAGATAGTTATTAGCTTAAGAACTACCTTTCTTGGTGTTCTTGAGATGAGATTTCAGTTGTCTAACCTTCGCACGAGTCTGAGATGCAAAGTGAGTTTGAACTTTCTCCTAGATCTAAAGCGAGATTTCACATCTAACAACTCGTGTGAGCATACTGTCAGACATTGAACAAGACATCCATGAAGCAAGTAGTTGATCTTGCCTCTCCCAATCCAAATAAGTTGGATTTAGCCTAAAGCCATCCGAATCTTCATCATCACCACTAGCAAGGTACTTCGCAAGTGGCTTGGCAAATTTGTCTATAAACTTATGCAAATCATGAAACAAGATAGAATCTGATGCTTCCAAATGAGAAAATTGTTCTCATCGAGCTTGATTGGAACAAGATGCGAGAAGGTGACAACATCCTTATGCATCACGAACAGTGAAGGATTAACGATGGTAGTGGTAGATGAGTTAAACACGGCCTAAAGTCAATGCGAGCTCTGATACCATAAAGGAGAAAGGAACAAGAGAGAGAGAGAGAGAGAGAAAAGATAACTGAGAGGAGATAGAGATGATGTAATGGGTAAAATGATGATATGATTAATGCCTAAACAGTACACATATATATAGTCATGCAAGTGGTTAGACTCTAACAGAGTTCTATTACACAACTTAGTAACTTAATTATTAAGACTTAAATTAGATAACTACTTTACTACACTATCACATACTGCCACCATCCGTACCACACTCACTTGGTATAGTTCAATTCTAAGTTATTCTCATGTTTATGTCATTTACATAGAAATAACATTTATTAAGTTTTGAGAATAGGCAAATAAAAATTTATTTATACAAACAACTTTTTTTTAAAAGAAAAAATATAACTTTGGGTCCCTATACTTATGCCCATGATGTTCACAATTTTGAGCTTAAATTATGATTGAAGTTTGAGTAATTGAGAAAATATTCAAAGTCAAAGGATTATCATTCAATGGCTGTGAATATCTCTCGAAAGTAATAATAATTTTCTGATAAAAGTCCCAACTGTCTAACAACCAAGGAAAAAAAAGGGTCCCAACTGTCTTTGTGTTTTAATCAAACCAATTTGAAGCTTCTTAGTGAAAGTCACGTCTAGGGATATATCCATTTTTTAATTTAAAAAAAAAGAATCAAATTGAGCCATAACCCATACTTGACAGACATCATTATTACAGGATTTTAAGGATGCTATTATATATGTGGCCATGAAAAAAAAAAAAAGGATGTCATTATATATAATTGGAACATAATTAACTGTTTTAACACTGCCAGTATGATAAAATAATACCTGCTGTTACCTAAAGACAGGAAGCTTACTAGCTACGGTTTCATCCCTTTAAAATAAAAAAAAATAAAAAAAAAAGGCGATTATCATGTAACAGAATTTTGGCATTTTCATATGTATAATTTTTATCATGGAATTCTCGTGAATAATATTTTTTAAAGGAACTTTATTGTAATTAATGTTTAATCTGGATCATTCTTTTTGTTTTCCCATTTAGTTTAGTACTTCTTCTTGTCCAAAATGTGGGAGCTTTGTGGACATTTTGGCTGTCGTTGTCCTAATGTTTTCCCATTAAAAATTTTTTTAATGTCCCATTTTATTCAAATTAAAATGATTAAAAGTTAGTATTCCGATATTCCGATATCTGCCCCGGCGACGTCGCTACCATTGCCGATCCCCGCCGCAAAGTTCTGCAGCACCAGCACCAGCTTCCCCGTACTCAGCTTCTGCTTGAACACCGACTTGCCATTTGTATCCACTATCTCAATCTTTGATCTACTCCGCTGTTGCCGTCGGGATGAGAGACGAGAGAGATTAAGTCAAACAAGAAGGTCATGCCAAACATAAGCCTCCTGGGAAGCTCCATGTGGAAGTTTATAGCAAGGGTTCACAGGTTTAGTTTGATTTGATTTTAAAAAAAAAAAAAAACTATGCCGAATCAAATCAATTGATTCACTCTAGTTTGGACCTCTTTGATTTTTTTTCTTTAATCAGATTGGTTTAGGTTTGAATCAAGTTTAAATTTTTTAATGAGATATTCTTTTTAATTACTAACATATATTCATGGTCACTAATAATTTTTAACTGTTAATTATGATTTACAGTAAAAAAATCTCTTCAACATTAAAGAATATTTTTTAACAATAAATTAGCATATTTAACCATTGAAAATCAATGTATTACCTTTAAAACACTTGATTAAAAAAATTATCTTAAACTATTATAAATAACATTTAACTAATTGTAACTTATTTTTACTAATGATTTACAAAAAACCTAAACTTGAAAAAGGAAATTTTTTTGACAAATTTATAAATATATATAATAAATATAATAAAATTTGATTATGTTTGGTTTAAGTTTTCAGAAGCAAAAACTTGAGTTAAACCAAACCACTCAATTTTACCCAAAAAAAAAAAACCAAACCAAATTTTGTTTATAATCAGTTTTGATCAATTTATATTAATTTAGGACCGTTTAGTTTAGTGTGATCGATTTAAATTAGTTTTGAACACCCTTAATATGGAGGCTGAGAATGAAGAGGAAGAGGAAGGTGGAGACGCGTAGATAAGGGAGAAGCGTAGGGGTTGGGGTTGTGAAAGTACGCAGGTAAACACGGGGTATGTTATCTTAAAAGAAAAGAAGAAAGAAGAAAGAAGAAAGAGGAGAGAAGAGTGGGAAACAAGTCGGTCAGATTTTAAAAAAACGAAGGGAGAGAGAAAAAAAGAAAAAAAAAATGCAGAGGTGAGAGAAGTGGACGGTGGCCTATGAGAATTTGACACTTGGTATGATTGTGGGGCCTACCCTTCAAAATTAAGGACATTTATTCTTTTGCCCAGCCAAAATTGCATCCATTAACCCAACTTCATGGATATTTTTATACCCACACTCACTTAAGAATACTAGGCAATTCTAGAGAAAAAATTGATGAGTATTTTTTCCCTCAACTCTTCCAATAATTAAATGAGTGATATTTTAAAAAATTATTATAAATTCTTTATTGATCATTCATAATTATCAATAGCTATACTTCTTTTCTTCATTTCTATTAACAAGGTAAAAAGATCATGCATTTTAAAATTAAATAAAGTGTTGAGTTGTTAAAATATAAGCAAACTTAAGTTGATATGAGAAATCTTATATCGAATAAAATTAAGTTTGATAATTAATTAATATAAAATAAAAAAAATTCTTTTGCTATTCTTATTTATTTCTCCTCTCGTCCATTTCTATGTTTTTACTCCCCATTTCATCATCAAACTTAATCATAATTTGAGTTAATGTGAGAGTTCCACCGTATAAAATTAAATTTAATAATTAATATAAAATAAAAAGAATATCATTTTACTAAACTTGTCCATTTTTTCCTCCTGCTCTACGGTAGTTACTTCCTATTTGAAGAAGACAAGAAGTACATCATCAATCCTAATCATGACATCATAATTGAAATTTATTACCTAACATGCATTTACATTATGTGCTTATCAGCCTAACGGTTGATCTGGGCCCTTCGATTTATCTCAAAGTGATCTTTGCCTTTCATTATAAAATAATTTTTTAAGTATTTTTAAGAATATATTTATTAAAATAAAAGTTTATAAAAATTATAAAAAATAATATTAAGTTTATATTGTCCAAAGTACATTTACACATAGTCAGTCAATTTGTAAAAATCATAAAAATTTTAATATTAAGTTGGTCCAAACTAAATTTGTACCAACTAGATTGATAATGAACAAATTTATTAAAAAATTTAAATTTGATAAAAATAAAAATATTTATGTCTGAACAGTTAAGATCTCATACGATGAGTAATCTAGTACTCATCTTTTGATGAGTATGAAAGATAGTCTAGATTTAATATTAAATTTTTTATATTTTATTTTAATAAATGCAATATTTAAAATATTAAAAAATTAATTTAAAATGAATAGTAAAGATGATTTTAAAATAAATTAAAGGGCCCAAATTATAACTCGGCGTGATGCGCGCACGGTGCACCGACGCTGCCTAACGCGTGATGATATTTTGACCAGAATGCCTATAAATAAAAACCTAATGGCTAGAAGTCTCCTACCAACCCTCAGATAACGTTCATCATTTGGTCTTGAATTTCCCATAAGATTTTTGCCTTAACTTGCTCGAATATGGGTAATCTCAAGAAGCTGATATTCATGCTCAACTTTGCTTTGCTTTTTGCGCTCCTCATCTCCACCAAAGTGGCTTCAAGAGAACCTTTTGGGGCGTCAAGGATTCACATAACGGGTAAGTCAACCTATATTAAGAGAATAAATCTCTTTCTCAACAACATACTTTAATCTTTATATTACAATTTTATCATTTTAGTCTTCATAATTTTCAAAATTCTTTAAATTTGGTCATATTATTGAAATTCTAACCAGGCTTTGATAAATTCAGTTCTACTAGCATTTATAAGGTTAGTCTTGTACAAGTGCTCTGCGCTTTATAATCCTAATTATAAAATACTTTCAATTACTTCACTAGAATTGAGAAATAATAGTTAATTTATTTAATCTGTAAAAATGAAAAAAAAAATCCAGTTTCACGCCTAGCTTAGCTATTAAAAATAGGAAGAGAGATACTCCCCCCGGTCTTGTGTATTAAGTACCTCCTAAAAGCACAATCTAATCTATTTTATAAGTAATTAGCTAATGCGATTGTTTTGTTTCAAATTAAAATATTCAAATTACCCTTGCAAAGTAAGAAAAAGATATGAAAAAAATAATATTATATAGTTTATTTACTTTTTACTTGAGAGTTATTTTTGAAATTTTACTTACTTTTATTCCTTATACTTTTATTGTATTGATATTAATAAAGTTAGTAGAAATGACTTATAAATAAAATTAGAGAGAGTATATACAATATACGATAATAAACCATAAAATTAAATTTACAACAAGAGCAAAATTGAAAAATGATAATAAATAAACCTTCATGTGCTTTATATTTATATTAAGTATCAAATAATTTTCTTAAAAGGTATCTTATAATAAAGATGGGAGAGAGTATTTCTTTGAAAAACGCTTTCTTTTTGTGTATTATACATATGATCAACACAAACTGACGTAGTAATTGTTTCTTGGAAAATTTGAACGAAAAACAGCACGGGATATAGCAAAGGGCCACAATTATACTCCTGGTAGTTGTAATTGATCAGCATCCGGAAGTCCCATTCGAAATCAACTCCTCGAGCAAGAGAAAGCTGAACGATACTTTCACAAATGTGTAATGCTGATTTATTGTGCTTGTTACTAGTAGTAACAACATCGGTTGTTTTCTGGTGTAATTTTAATTGTCCCATTGGATTTACAAATTTTTATTTAACATTATCTATGTGAAAATTTTGTTAGTCGACGATTTATAAGTACTCTTACAAGTGTTTCATCAAATTCAGGAATATGACGCGATTCTCTCCAATGCTCAACTTAGTTACCTACGCTCTGTGTCATCAAAAAAGAAAAAGTTGTGTTTAACTGTTATATATGAGATAGCATAATCCATCAATGTAACAAACAAAGCAAAATCACCAAGTCGTCCTCATCGAAACCAGCTCATGATGGCTCTTGATTCAAAACACTAGTTTTATGAACAGTGTCGACTCTCAGAGAAAGCTGTCTCATACCTCAGCTTCGTGTCATAAGTCAAATGCATGCCTTCTTTAAGTGTTCGGTATCCTTTCCCTTCACCTTCCCGTGGTATTTTTCTTTTTTCTTTTTTTGGAAAAAATTTCAACTAAAAACTAGAATTATGATTTAATTATTAGTAAGTCTCACAGATCTTGGATGCGATTTTCCCTTTTGTATTTAACAATTAAAAGATATAAATGGAGGTGTTTTTTTGTACCGACAAAACATCACCTCTACAAATAGTTTAATTGCATCTGCGAGTGACAGAAGTTTAACAGCAATCAATAAAATTGATCACTGCTCGAAATAATCTCTTTTTCCCCATAAAAAATATCCAAAAAAAATAGCAGCAGATAGTCATTGACTCTTATATGTAACTTGCTTATGAGTCATTATTAATCAGACTTTAACTAAGAGAAAACCAAAATTTACTACTTTCTCCATCCCAAATTATAAAATATTTTAGGAGAGACTTGGTATTCCAAAATATAAAACACTTTGAGAAAATTAAAGTTTTATTAAGTAGGCATATTTTAATATTATCCTTTTCTTTTCTATTTAATAATTAAGTTTATATTATTTATGGTTGTCATGTAAAGGATATTTTTGAAAGTTTATATTTTTAAAAAAAATAAAATTTCTAGGTGTATTTAATAAGATTTATTGACATATGAAATTTTGTCCGAAAGTATTTTATAATTTTGGACTAAGGGAGTATTATTTTAACACTCAACAAAATACACACACACATAGAGACAGAGAAAGTGGCCAATAATTGTCAATTAAAAATAGCAAAAAACAAAAACAAAAGGAACGAAGTTAAAGAAAAAGCGAGAGAAAGAAAGTAAAGAAAAAAAAAAAGGGAAAGAAGATAAAGTGAAAATGACAAAAAGAAAAAAAAAGAATAAGGTTGGCAAGAAAACAATTAATTTAGAAAGAATACTTTCTTTTTCTTAAAACATAGCTTTTTTTACCTAAAAAAATATAGCTTTATAACACTACTTTGAAAAAAGAAAAAAGAGAATAACAAAGTTGATAGAAAAGCAATTAATTACGAAATATTATTTCTTTTTCCTGAATAAAGCGTAAAAACACGACTTTCCTTGAATTCAAAGGATGCTATAAATAAAAAGTAGTTATTAAAAGAAAAAGAACTGGACACAATTAAAAGAAAGACAAAAGAAATAAAGCAATAGGAAGTAAATATTTAGTTAAGAAATCCAAAGGAAAAAAGAAAGAAAACTATAATATAGAAAGTAATATGGAAAGGAAAACATTCCTCATGTTCCATTAAAATTAGCTTAAAATTGGGGGGTGGGGGAGTAAACCACCTCCCTTTTTTTTTTTAATCCTTAAATGTTAACTAATCTGAGCTGACTCATTTCCCTTAACAACCTGGCATTTGAAAGAGGTTTTGTAAATACATCAGCAGCAGCAGGAATAATGGTGGCCATGTGACATATTAATATCTTAATCTAAATCTTTTACACGATATATGATATTTAAATTATACTAATATAGATGTTATAGAATAGCCTGTCTTATAATTACGTAATAGAATTGGGTGAAAAGTTTATGGTAAATTGAAATCATATACTTGATTATACATAAAAATTGGTGATTCCAAGTTCCCTTAAGTTTTGATGAATATTTACTGATAACCCTTTTGTCTTTAAAGTTTCTTTATGGTTATTCCAAATTCATGTCATATTTCTCTTACATTTAATTTTTTTAAAAAATATTATATATTAAATTAGTTCCAACAATTTTTCCAACCAAATTATAACAACTTTAATATTTTATCAAAAAAATTTTCATAAAAAAATTTGAAGAAATAAAAATGAATAAATGGAGAGAAAAATTATTTTTCTAAGAGTTAAATTATTATATTTTTTTAAAAAATGATGAAATTATACAAACGGTATACTTAAGTGGATGGAATATTAAAAAAATAATAAATGTCCAACCAAGAATATGGAAAGCAGGTTGGGGGATAGGATTCAAAGTTTTATCCCCATGTCATGAAACTTTATTTTGAAAAGCAAGTCTCTGTCTCTGATCTCTGTCTCTCTCAAACAAATGATCGAGACAATAATAGTTTTTTTTTTTTAATGATGAATGCCACTATGGCATCAACAATGGTTGGACGAGTTGAAAGGACTTGATTCACCTTAAGTAAGGTTGAAGGTTTGAACTTTGTGAATAGAATAAAATTCCATGGGCCAAAAAAAAAAAAAAAAACACAGGCACACACACAGAGAAAGAAAGAAAGAATAGAACAAAATTCATGTTGGGAGAACTACCTTCATTGACCTTACCAATTTTCAAATTTAATCTGATAATAATATATCCAGATAATCATATAAAAAATAATATCGAAATGGCTCAAATACATGAAATCCTTCATGCTAGAAGGATATTAACAATAAATATCTTAAGAAAAAGAAGCTATGATGATCTAAAGGAATGAACTCGTACAATCATTGAAGATTTACACATAAAGTGAACCTTAATTTTCATGTCATGCTAATCTAATTTGCATCTTGTCTTGTTATAGTAATATTTTCAAATGTAATCACATGAATCTCATTTTCATTAAAAAAAAAAAAAGAAGGAAAGTGGATGAGGAAGATAAGTTAAGAAAAGGGATTAGAAATGCTAAAGCTAAGGGAAAGAAGATAAAGCAAAAACACTCATCCACAAAACGGTAGAGCAATCAAAGTTAGGAAAGAAAGATAAGATGCAATTAAAGGTAAATTTTCTTTTTTAAAAAGGAAAAAATCATTTTTAAGTCCTATCAAGAAATCTAAATACAAAAAAGTTTCACAAAATTCATAATTACTTTGGAGTCCCGTATCATTTACTAAGTTGTCAATTCACTATATTTAAGTTTTCTGTTAATGCTAGATAGTTGTTAGTAGAGTTATTTAGTCAACAACTAAGTAATAATAATTAATAATTATTCAGTAGTAATTAATAATTTTAATGGAAGAACATAAGACCATTGTTGCCAAATTCATGAGTTAACTTTTTAGGTTTACCTTTTTACATTTTTATCTTATAATCTTGTGTCAACTCACTCATAAACTCGATAAACTTGATTTTTTACCAAGTAGAGAGAGTCAAGTATATACTATATATAACTTGATTTATAGAAGTAGTAGGACACATTTCAAAGAAAAATAAAAGAAAGAATGATATATTATGTAGATCTTTCCTCAAACCCTATCAAAATTTATATACCCATGCAACACAACTGCAAGCTTTAGTGAAAATGAGAGAATGATATGCATGATAAATTTCTACTTAACCACTAGGATGGAGTTATTGACTTATTTCAAATTTTTCCCAACACACATTGACTTTTCGTAGTGACTTTGTCGCCATTAAAAGCTGAAAAGTCGACACTAAAACTATCAATCAACAGTGTCTTTTTTATTGCCGCTAAAAAGTAATATTGGTTTTACCTACCACGTGCCGCCGCCTCACCCCACCACATGGCACCACGCCACCCCTCCACATGGCGCCATGTCACCCTCCACATGTTGCCCTACCTCACGACACATGTTATCATATCACCAATTTATATTTTCATTTCACAAGTTGCCTCCTTCAAGGTTTGAACCTATGACCTTCTCCTTTTGTGTCTTACCATTTGGCCATCGAGCTAGAATGAACCTACAATCTATTACTGCATAATTAAATACACACACACATGTATATATTATTAAACTATACAAACACACACACACATATAGTAAATATGAAATATTATAAAATCTCATTACTATTATTAAATACTTCAATTTAATTCTTTTAATTTATTCAAATTGCAAATTATATTATTTATTTTGTCTAAAGTAAACTATAAATATTGTTGATACAATATCATTTGTATTATTTATTTTAATTCTATTAATCAGACTTTAACTAAGAGAAAAACAAAATTTACTACTTTCTCCATCTCAAATTATAAAATATTTTAGGAGAGACTTGGTATTCCAAAATATAAAACACTTTGAGAAAATTAAAGTTTTATTAAGTAGGCATATTTTAATATTATCCTTTTCTTTTCTATTTAATAATTAAGTTTATATTATTTATGGTTGTCATGTAAAGGATATTTTTGAAAGTTTATATTTTTATTTTGAAAACATAAAATTGCTAGGTGTATTTAATAAGATTTATTGATATATGAAATTTTGTCCGAAAGTATTTTATAATTTTGGACTAAGGGAGTATTATTTTAACACTCAACAAAATACATTTCAATCAAGAAAAAGTGGCATACATGCATCTATCTTCATATGAACATGACTTGTTCGTAATGCAAATTGTATACGACAAATTCATAGTATGAACAAACAACACACATCAATTGCAACTTAATTTTGAGCAATCTCTTGTTCGTGGCTTTAGCATATGAGCTATGATTTGCATGGTTGGCCTTGATTGAGGGTTAACTTGCAAGCATGAAAGGGCTAGATTGATAATCAAATCCAATTCCTTCAAAATTTGGTTCCCTGAAGGTAGTGACAGACGTGGGTCTAGTATCTCCTTCAAATTGATGTTTTGAACGCCAAATGCTTGTATATGAGAAATCAGATCTCCTGGATGCTTCCCCATGAGAACCTCATAAGCCAAAACACCAAAGCTAAACACATCACATTTCTCAGTCACTGCCATAACGTATGCAAGCTCTGCATTATTGTCTTATTGTCCACAAGAAGTATATGCATTTGTATTAGTGAAATTATAATAGGATTAAATGGCAAATTGGCTTGGCCCCTAAACTATAGGCTCAGGAGTGCTTGACATCCTAAACTCATTTTTGGTACAATATTAATGTTATCCTTCAACATTTCAATTGCAATATGGACCCAATTGTTAGTAAATATTAATTTTGAACATTAGTTGGCTAGAAAATAATAGAAAAATACCCAAAAAAAATTGCAAACAAGGATATAAAAAATTACATATAACAAACCAAAAAATTACATAAAAGGAAAAAGAAATTTTTTTTAGTCATTTTCTATAATTTTATGTCATTTAATTTTTTTTATAATTTTTTTGTTAACTGAAGTTCAAAGTTCACATTTGTTAACAGTAGGGGACATATTGCAATTGAAATATTAAAAGGGAATATTGTACTAAAATCAATTTTAGGGTCCCAGACTCTCTTCAACCTATAGTTTAGGGGGCCAATTTTCCGTTTAACCTTATTAACATATTATATTAGTGTTTTTATCTTAGGAGAAATAATTATAGTGGGTGTATATATGAAGCTGATCTGGACCACAATAGCCAAATGTACCTGCAAAAGATGTCCAAGTTGATGAGTCAGGCTTCAGGAATCTTGAAGCACCAAAGTCTGAAACATGAGCTTCAAGATTTTTGGACAGTAAAACATTGTTGCTTGATACGTCTCTATGAACAATTGGTGGATTACAATCATGATGCATATAAGATAAAGCTCGTGCTACATCCTTCTTGATATCAATCTTCTTACGCCAATCTAACTCTAATATAGTTTTGTCATTCTTCAACATATCTACTAAGCTTCCTCTATCCAAGTACTCATAAACCAAAAATGTATGCATCCTTTGTGAGCAAAAGCCATACAGCTTCACAATGTTCCTGTGACGTGTTTCTGTCAAGGCATTGATCTTAAGTAAATAGGTGGATATGGCTAAAGCATTATGGAGGAAATTAGTGACACAAATGATAATGCTTAAACATTATTATCTATAAATCTAAATTGGACTTTTGCAAAGGAGTTCATTAAAGGAATTAAGATCTTATCTAAGCTCCAGAATTATTGAGATTTATAAGGTTGAAGAGTGTACAAGGCATATTATCAATTTAGAAGTCATACTTGGATGTTTGGAAATGGTTGATCAAGAGAATTAAAGATTATATATTTATTCAATGGTTTGGAATGTCGTACATTAGATGTTTGGTAAAAAGCCTAAGGAAAAACTTTATGTATAAATTTTGTTGGTAAAATTTCAAAGTTTTTTTTTTTTAAATTTTGTTAAATGGATTCTCTTAAAAGAGACTTGTTGAGTCAAAAGTAAAGTGCATTAAAATCTTATTATTATAGAGTAATTGTAAGGAAGGTAGCTCAATTGGAGTTGTAAGAAATGAATTTTGAACTTTGAAGATATTACCAGTAAGTGGATATTGTCCCAACTAATATTTCAATAAAATTTTCTTTATTAAAATATTACATTTTTATGCAAATTATTTTTACAACAAGAGTGTGATTATTAGATATTTTGTTGATTAAGTTACTTTATTTTGTGAAATTATTTTACTAGAATTGATTATTTTAGTTAATCAGTTAAGTTTGGATTCTAATTATGAAATTTCATTTTGAAAATTATTGAATTCCTACGAAAAAATGATTCATGCGAGTTTGACATTGAAAATAAAAATTTTTATTTGAAAGTAATGATTTTCTCGCATGTTTGAAAATAGATTTAAAAGGGACTTATTGTAGAGCACTAGTTGCTAATGACAGTTCTATTAGCCTTTAGTATGCGATGATCAATGACTAGCTAGCTTGATTTCGTGAGCTTTGTTCTCACGTTTGTTATTCATGAGTCTCATACTAGTGTTTGTTTTCATGGCTTCGAGCCGTATTTGATTAGCATTATCCTCGTGGACTATGTGTCCACGTTTGCTTCGTGGCTTCGGCTGCGTTTGGTTAGTATTACTCTCGTGGAATGTATGTCCATGTTTGTTAATTGTTTTGATAAGTCCCTATAATTATGAATTCAATCATTTGATGATTTTATATTCCATTGGTTTTTATTTAGTAATTTGTTTATAAATATTTATTTCATTTATGTGCTTTCTTGAAATCAAGTAATATTATCATTTGCTATGATAATTCAATGATTTGAAATTCTATTTGAGATTTTATAGAGTCATTTTATTATGAATTTATTAAATTTTTTCGCATATTTTGTCTATTGAACTTATATAACTATTTCAAAATTTCCATTTTATTTATGTTATATTGTTTATTGTTAGGACATTATTTACTGAAAAATTATTTTTGGTCTCAGATACCTTACCTAACGTTGATCCTCCTGCCGATCCTTAAGCACTTATAGACAGGTGGAGGGTTGATTGAATTTTTTTTTTTGATGTAATTATAAATTTTTATGTATCTTATTTTTATTTTATTTTTGAAAAGTACGGTTAGGTGCTCCACATAAGATATAACTAGAACTTTTATTTTTTTATATGTGTTGTCTGTCAACTGGAAAGAGCTAAGCTCCTAATTTACTTGATATTTTGACTGAAGGTTTTGTCAAAATTTTTATGAATATGTTGAAACTTTGTTATAATAATTAGTGTCAAAAGTGTTATAATTTCAATATAAATCTGATTTAATTTTAGAAATAGAATGAATTTACAATTTAAGGCTTACAGGAACGTGTAAAGCGATTCACATCCCATGTCAGTCGCTCTCCAATTTTAGGGTGTGACAGCTTCACTATGCATAATTTTATAAGGCTATAACTCACTCAATACAACTCCAAATCCAACAAACTATATATCATTGGAAAGATCTTGAAGTCTAGTTTTCAATAAAATAATTTTTACACTTAAATTCAATGTATAATTTGAGATGTCATCAAAATAATGAACAAAGGTCAACTCTAAATGTAGTGTAGAATCAATATCTCAAAACTCAATTTCTAAAATTCATTTCTTTCTCAATAGAATTTCAATTTGAATAAATATACTATCATAAAAAATTTGTTAGATTCTAATTTTAAATGAGATACTTTTTACATTAAAATAATATATAGTGAGAGATATGATAAGAAACATGACCAAAGGTCAAATCTGATTTTCTGCACAATCTGCATTTCAAAGTTTAAACTTTAAGTGTTCATAACTTTTTTAACTTAATTCCTTTTTTAGTAAATAGAAAACTTTGAAAAACTTTATAGAGTTAATAATCAAAATATTAAAAACTTTGTGAGATATATATGATCAAAGATGAAAATATAATTGTAGAAAAATACACCTCACTCTTTATCTTATGAGCTAAAATGTATGTTTTAATTTAAAGTATATTAAGCCAATATTTTATATATAAATCAATGAGTTTAACATAAAGACTTCTAGCCTAATGATATTATACCTATAATGTCACGCCTCAAAAATTAAATGTGACTAGCACGGGACATGTGCACAAACATGTATCCGTTAAGCCTTAATTAAGGAAACTTTAATATAATATTTTAATTTATTTAAAATAGAATGGAAAATCATTATAACATTTTTATATAAATAAAAGATTCTTAAACTTTTTATAAAAATTTTGACAGAACCTCTCATAAATAGAACTTTCCAAAGTATTTACAACATCAATGTACAATCTAAATCAAAAATATGGAGCTCTGCTCCTCCATAATCGATAGACAAATAGATAATAGACCATAATTCTATCTATAGTTAACGTAGAGTATCTAATTATAATTTTAAAGTATAACACATAATTAAATATCTACTTCAAAAGGAAGGCATTCTCAAAAGGTCTCCTCATCAATTCAGCAATGAGCCCCTCGGAGGTCAAAAAGAGGTAGATTATCAACTATGCTATCTGAGAATAAAAAAACTTTTAGTGAATAATATTCCAATTTACAGTTGGAAGAAATAATGGAAAGTAACATAAATGAGCAAATTAAAAACTTATTAGAATAATCAATTGTAATAATATAAACACATAATCATGATTATCAACAACAACAACTAGGTAAATGTATAACATATAAATATATGAATTCAATTAAAATTATTAGAAATTCAAGTTCCACCTTCAATTTTCCTCATATCCTCAAACACCTTAGAATTTATGTTTCTCAATACAAAATTCATAAACAGTAAAAATACTTATTTACATTTCAAAATCAAACTTAAAGAAAATAAGTCTCAAAACTCTTTCTTTTGTAGGACTTAATCAGAACAATTAATAAGTGTGGACATACAATCCACGAGAGTAAATAACTAATAAGCGTGGATACACAGTCTACGAGGGTAAATAACTAACAGTTGCTACTTAAAGCCATAAAATAATCAAGCATGGCTAGATGCCACAAAACAAGCACAGGCATGAAGTCCATGCATAACAAGCATGAGTACTACGCTTATGAATATCGATCCCTCCATTTCACATGCGTTGGCTTGTGCATGAGACTAACACCTCCTATAAACACCTTGTTAGCTTGGCATACTATGGAGTGCCAAGGGCTAATAAAACTGTCATTAGCAATTAATGTTCTGATTCAATCCCACATTTTAAAATCAAACATACATGGGCTAATAAAATCAATATATTTTCCCTTTTCAACATTTTTAATAGAGTAGATACTTTTAGATGTTCAATTGAAAGATAAATTCAACTATTTTATAAGATATAATATAATGAAAGTATTTCCATGCATGACAATTGATAATACAATTAAGATTATGAACTATAAAAATAAATGAATGAATAAATTAAAATACTTTATTACTTGTTCTTGCAAAATAAAATAATTATATAAATAAAAGAGAGGACATATAAATATGTTAAATTAATATATTTATGAAAATGAATTTGCCAATAGTTATTAGGACACTATTCACTTATTTGTAAAGTTTTCAAGTGTATAACTTCTTTTCAAACTAGTTCTCTAGGGCCAATCCTTTGTCCTAAAATTCCTAATAGTTAAACAATGTTATTGTCATTTCCCCAATCATATTTTACCATCCAAAATCTTTAAATTCAAAACAACTAAAAGGAATAAAAAGAAAAAAACTTTTACTTTTATCTTTTTCGACATTGCATGAAATATCCCAATGATATGCCAAATGACTATCAAATTGGTTCTTAAATTACTAATTCAAATATCTCTTCCAAAAACTTATAATTACTTTAGCTTTCGTTGCAAAGAACAAATGCTTACCATAATTATTTAATCAATGATGCCATACTTGTAATATATTTGCCACTTTAAATTAAAATCTTTTTTTTTATGCTCGATGCCTAGACCATAAAATCAGGTTCTTTTTCTCATCCAATCTCCTCCCAAAGGTTTTTTTATATCCATAATTGAACTATTCACCCCTCAACTTTCATCAATGAGAGTAATTATCTTTTAATGATAGTTTATTTAATCGACAATATACTCATCATATACATATATCATGCCATTATGTAACAAGAATTTCTCTTGATCATTTTTGTCTTATACCTTGTGGACACTAAATCTCAAATTATCACCAAACATTTTCCTATTCAATTCTATTTTCCAAAAATTCCCTAACACAAATACATGAATAATCAACTTTTCAAGTTTCATCCTTTAATAGAATCAGCACAAATTTTAATATAGTTCATTGGACTAAAATTTAGCGTGGTTCAACAACATCTTTTCCACACACACGTGCATGCAGCAGTGGCCTTGCAAACCAATCAAGAAAATTGTTGTTTCAATTACTTAGACACACACACAGAGCTAGAAAAAACGATGTCTCGAAAAGCAGCAGAGGGAGGGAAAAATTTTCAACTTCAAGCATCAAGTCACACACCCTTAAGCACATAATCAACAAGAAGAAAAGCTCAAGAATTCTCACCTTAATCACCTATAACAGCAGAGGAGGGAAAGAACAAGAGACTGCCAACATAATAGGGAGAGGAGAAGACGAGATTACTGCTGAACGAGGGAGAAATCCAACTCAATACACAAGAAAGGAAAGTAAATGAAAATTAAAATCACTAAACAAAGCAGAAAAAGAGCTTACAACCCACGCCACCAGCTCCGGCGATTGGATTCCTCACGCACACTGGCGACTTGAACGTGAACGCGAGAACAGAGTAGAAGCATGAAAAATAAGCAAAGATGGGAAGGATGATGGAGAACCTGGTGTCGCAAGACAGCACGAGCACCACGGCCACCGGAGACGTGAAGAATCGTGGAGGAGTGCAATGGCGGGGAAGAATCAGAACGTTTGTGTCGGTGAAGGGAAGGAAAGAAAAGAACTGGACGAATGCTCTGTTTTCGCGTGAGAGAGATAAATTCTGAATATACAAGAAAATTGGGAAAACTACAAGAAATAACACAAGGAAAAATTACAACAAAAGGCACAAAGTTTTTTCATAATTTAAAATAAAAATAAAACCACACTTTTTTCTTGGTAAAACTCAAACTCTAGTCCTTAAAAAAAAAAAATACTAGGTAAGTTAATCTAAACTACCACCCTCCACTTGCTATAAAGCTAATTTAAATAAAATATTAATGGGAGAAAATTAATTTAAGTCAATTTTTTTAAAAAAATTTGGGTCATTACATATAAAGTCCAAGGCTTCCAAGGTATATCTAAGATTATATGAATGTCATCATTTTTCTTAAGCTCTTTTTAAATTATCCTTCTCTTTATCTTTATGCTCTTCAATCATGAGTGTAGTAGCATACAAATGTTAACTTTAACTTTCTTTCTTTTTATGCTTACTTTCATCTTTACTTTGGACAACCTTAAATGATATATATATTATGAACAAAATAATTAGTCCAACTATCAATATGCATATATCCATCTTATGAAAGATGATATTATGAATACTCTTGGATATAGAATCAATTTAAGATAAGAAAAAATATGATAGTATAAAAATAATTTTGATACGCACAAATTATTTTTTTAAATCTCATGTAATATAGAATAACATTAGTAAAAACATTTTAAAGTACTTGTTCTATGATCATAATTAACTATTTTATATATATGTATTAAAGCATTTAGACATAAGCATGGTTAACTTATTTATATTTGTTATCATCAAAATTTAAGCTAAACATAATGTTACAAGTCATTGTGTCCAACACCTCTCTCAAGGACGACACTATGACAGCATCATGATGAACTAGGGAAAACACACCATGACCATGGAGCAGCGAATGATCACGATGTCGACCCTTTCTCCAATGACTCTACAGACGATGTCAAGCTGAGTGAGAGACACTGTCAAGGAGAATCTTCGACAATTTGAAGTTCTTTCTAGCGACGAGAGCTAGACACCTGCTGTAAAGTCGCTGGAAGACACAACAGAACCAATGGACGACTATAACGTGATGCCGTGAACCAGTGGACGACCACAATGCTGGCGCTTGATGAAGACACAACAGCCCAACGACGCACTAGTAGCTCATCTTCAGCGTCAGTAAAGGGAAGAATAAAAGGGAAGAAGAGAGAGAGAGACTCACACAGTAATGGACTCACATGTATTAAGTAATATGAGGAGTCAAGAACGTTTAACCAACATTGAATTTCAATCAAAATCTAATATTCACTTTCAATAACAAGGATATAAGGAGAATTATCAACAAGTAAGCACGTAAATAAAATCTGAACATGGTTTGAAAAGAATTTCTATTAATTCATTATCACATGCATAAGATATTGAATTGAGATATATAAATTAATGTTCGTGACCTTGCTCTGATGCCACGTGTTAAATTTAGCATCTCAAATTCATATAAATCAAATATAATTAAGTAAAATAATTTGCATACCTGAAGAATTCATTGATTAAATGTGAGATCTCGATTACCTCAAGTATAGGTGGACTCACAACTTACTAGATTCCTGTAGTTTGCAGAGAGTTCAGAGATAATGGAGATAAAGAAAAATGTATCGTATGTTTTGGTTATCGACTAATCAACTTATATGAATCATATCAACAACCGCTTTGATAAATTAATTAATTATTTAGTCTCATATTATCCTTAACTCAATTAGTTAAGTAATAAGGAATAATTGATAACTACAGGGTTGTAGGTTGGGCCTTTGTCCACTGGATTCACTTGTGTGGTCTACCTATCATTGTCCACACAAGAGTATAAAGACAATTTTGTTTAGGCTTATTAACTAATGCAAATCTATAAATATTTATAATATTCCAACAAATTTGTCCCTTTACCTTCTGATTCTAGTTCCCTAAAGTTCCCTCATGCTGTATGTATTTTATCTCCAAGTAATGCTACTTCTTGTGAACACCTTCACACTCTAGACTCATATTAGCTTAGGTATCTCCCTAAATTAAGTTCCCCGAAGGATTTTGGGAACTTACAATTGCTGATACACAAACACATTGAGGATTCATTTCTCTAGAACGCTTGGCATGTGTAAAGTGTGCAATGCTCCTGATTTACGCCAACAGATTCTATGTGCCTTTAGTAGTCTAGTTGTGACAAAAAACAAAAGTTTGAATTAATCCTGTAAGTTGTGAAAGAATATTGAAGTCTCATATAATTAGTTGTGAATTCTAGAGAAACCTGTGATTCTTCAAACCCCATTCTTGAGCGAGTTTACATGATTTTCACAAGTGATTTACATGAAATTCACAACTGATTATATACAATTTTTAGTAACCTAGGTCAGAAAATAAAAAAAAATTCAAATTAATACTTCATGTTGTGAATGTGAATACAATAATCCCATATAATCATTTTTGAATTGTAGGTAACCATATATTAAAATTAGGTAACTCAATTGCAAATGAGGCTATCTCCTAATGATCCTTCAATAAAATTTCAATAATTGAAAGTATGTAATTGAAATATATGACTTAGTAAAGTTCTTAATTGTCATTTTTTTTTTTTTTTGCGTCCCCCACCTCCAGGGTGAAGGTGGTGCCTAAAGTACACTACATCAATCCAAAATCAAATAAGGCATTATATACATATCTGCCTATCAAAGGTAATTTACAAGGGCTCATTTTTAGTTTGTGGAATATTTTTGCAAATAAGAATGTTAATAGAAATTAATATAATAAAAAATATGATAGATTTTAAACTGAGATAATAAATAATATAAAAATAATTATAAGGGATTAAAAAAATTTGATCATGATTTAAACAAAACCCCAATCCAATGCTGATTCTGGAGTGAGAAAAGGAAAACCAAATTTCACTCTTATTGCAAGATCTGCATTCAATACAGAGTGGAATATCTCAACCTCTTTAAATTTAAACGAAAGGAAAGGGGTCATTCTAACATCATTTTTATGATGATTGTCTATCAACATTGACTTGGTTCATAGAATTCTGCACAACAGGTAGCCCATTTCAACTTGAACTAGTCTTCTCTTTAAGTTTTGTTTTATGTAATTTTCATGGTCATTTTTTTTTTGTAATTTTTAATATCATTTTCTGTTTTTTTTAGTTAACTTATGATTAAAATTAACTTTTATTAACAGTAAGAATTACATAGCACCATTATTAAAAGTTAAAGGGGAACATCACAAAAAAAACAAGTTCAAGATCTCTGATTACACTCATAAATCCATAATTTAGGGGTCAAATTACTGTTTAACCTGTGAATTTAAATGAATGAAAGGCTCAGTCTAACCCCACTTTTATGATTATTGTCTCCGACAGCATTGACTTGGTTTGTAGAATTCTGCACCATAACACGCAACCTTCTTCATTCAGGCTGTGTATCACACGCAAACATGCAACAGGAAGGCCCATTTCAATTTGAACCAGTCAACAGCCAACTTTTGTTTTGTATTGTTTTTTTTTTTTTTTAGTTCTTCTTTTACATCTCACCACTGTCTTCTCTGTTGAAAGCGGTTAGGTGTTAACTTTATGTTTTGTGAGGAAAATGACAGTTAGATTGTAAAATGATGAATTAATGACAGTTAGGTTTTGAAATTTTTAGAGGATAAATTATAAATATCAATTCTAACAGTTATAAATACAATTTATATTATAATTAAAGAGTTCTATTTGATACTTAAATACTTATTTACAACCGAAACTCCTGAATTTACAATTATTATTTTTAACTTATTTTTTTAAAAATTTATCAGAACCTAATTGTCATTAATTTACGGTTTTGGGACCTATTGTTATTCTTCCTTTTTTTTTTTTTTTACTTCTTTTCATATTTATATAAAATATTGTTTTTTTTGTAAGATAACACAGGCATAGGCCCTATTGTTCATATCTGACTTCAGAGCAAGGTAATGTTTTTTTAGGGGTAAAAAAAAAAAGCAAATCGACCTTTAAATTATTTGTCTAGGAACATCTAAGATCCTAAACTCATTTTTGTATAATGTTCTCCTTTAGCTTTTTAAAAACGATGCAGTTTGGCTTCTACTATTAATAAAAGTTAACTTTGACTATTAGTTGTACAAAAAATGATAGAAAAGGATATCAAAAATTACATAATAGGACCACTAAATTTTCTTGGTCCTTTTCTTTAATCTTTTGTCATTATTTGTAATTTTTAAGTCATTTATTATAATTTTTTGGTCATTTCTATAACTTTTAACTTTTGAGGTTCTTTTTTGTCATTTTTTAATTAATTGATAACCAAAGTTAACTTGAGTAAGGGCCATATTATATCTTTTTCAAAAGTTAGAGGTAACATTACACAAAATAAATTTGGGGTCACCAGTGGCCTTAGATTTATAGTTTAGAAGTCAATTTATTTTTTCACTCTTTATTTTTTTTACAAAATCTTCTTTTTCAAATCATGAAACATCTACTGTATTCATCATCTCAGTCTTATTTTCCTATCAGTCTCGACTTATAGTTTAGGTTTATTTATTATCATTTTTTAGTCATTTCTATGACTTTTAAATTTTGAGATTCTTTTTTGTAATTTTTTGATTAACTAAAGAACAAAGTTAACAAGGGTAAGGGCTAGATTGTACCATTTTCAAAAGTTGAAAGTAACATTACGTAAAAAATAAGTTTAGAATTCTAGGTGCTCTTGAACTTATAATTTAAAAGCCAAATTGCTTTTTCACTTTTTTTTTTTCAAACAAAGTCTTATTTTTCAAATCATAAAACATCTACTGTATTCATTATATTATCCTGAGTGCGCATCAAGCTTGTGACATAAAGTGTGAGAAAACTGAATTCAAAGTTAATAACATATTTTCTCATGCAAACATTTAATAGATAAAAAAAAAAGAAAAACTTAATTGTAATAAAAAAATTAAGAATACGACTTATAAAAA